TTACCCATGGCGCCCCCCCCCCCACACTCACACGAATACGACAGATAGACAGTTTTTGTACGTATACAGGTATTAACTGATCGTCATCATTTAACTTTGCATATTATGGATTTCAAGCAAGAAGGCCAGTCCCATCCGTTCTCTGTAATATTTGAATGAAAAAATCTGCTTGGTTTAGCCTACTTGTGTTGACCTATTAGAACTACGGTTAATTGTCTTGGTCGACCGGAAATCCCAACACACTACCACAAGTGTCCTTCGTCTGACAATATGCAACTGGCTGGTACAAAGAACGGAACTTCCCACCTGGAAAATATCAGTCGGGTTTATTTTAGCATGGCTTCCCCTATTTGGTTCAGAAGCCTGCAGTCTGGGAGGTCATATCCATCAATTTGTCTGGCAAACTATATCATGGTTGACTGCGGGGTAACACAAGTGAAGTCCGTGTGTGTGTGTGTGCATGTGTGTGAGAAATGCAGACAAATCGCCATGCTAGTGGCCTGTGCAATCAATTTATATATTGAAAACACTGTTTTTCCGACATAAATTTGAATAGAGAAATTCGAAACATGGGTTTGCAGTATGGTCATTTCGAGGTATCTGCACTCGTGTATTCTCTATTGAAAGTTATTTTTTACTCAGGGAAATAATAATCGTAATACAATATTACAATATTATTACAACGGAAAACACGGCCTGACAACACGAAGTACGAAGTAGGGCAAGGGTCAACTATCAAGGCAAAGTTAATGTTACTGTAGTAAGCAAGTGAACATATACAGAGAAATGACCATGGATACATTTTGCAAACCCATATCGCGCATTTCATACAGGTTAAATGACATGATTCATTCGAGCACACCTGTCCGCAACAGATATAGGCAGTTTGAAGACCGTTTGTGGAAATAGTTTTCTGTGAAAGAAAATCGAACACAATCTTTGCAGGTATAGTTCTCGAAAAGATGTTCCAAACTGGACAGTTCTTTTCAAGAATTCTCACCAAGACTTGTACGAATCTTATGAGGTATAATAAGGTACTGATACATTGAGATCACGTGCCAGATGCTGAGGATAGTGGGAGAAGGACTGTAAGGGGGTGGATAAGTGGATTTGAACGTTAAGTTTAGCTTAGAACCAGGCAAGAAGGATGCACGAATAACGATGGCTTCGGTTATACCTCATGCGATCTCATCACTCCATCTGTCTGTGCGAGCCGTTTTAATAGTACGGTAGCAAAATATCACGGGTTAACTGATTTTCAACTGTTTGGGGTGGTGTAGTGATATGATCCTCATTATACAAATCAATCCTTTAGGTACTATTCAGTAACTTGGGTAGCAGGAAGATAACAACTTGGGGTAGCATTTCATGGCTCGTCCTCTGCTCCAGGTCATGGTCTAACCACCGAACATACATATAGCAACAAACTAATATATTTTATCGGCAACATTGTAGTCGTCAGTAGTTGGGTTAGTTAGCATTTTTCACGCAAAGATTCAGGATTTATTTATTCTTTTGATAATACTGCCCAAGCAGCTAAACGTTTGTCAAAGAACTTGTATTACCCTAATTCAGAGTTAAAGACCTCCATTTGTACGAGACCGTTGTATGTAACTGGAATAGCAGATGACCAAAACATTTTGTTATCTTGCGTTTCTCGTAAAAACCACTATTATCTGGCCACCGCGGTACCCAGATACAGTGAGGAACTCTTGAAAGTCAAATCTATCATCGGTTCAATTCAATTTTTGAACGGAATGCACAGTTCATCCGAAATACCAACTGAAAAGCGATCTCATTCGCTGTTTGCTGTTGTATTTTAATCACACGCAAACTTGAAAGCGTTGTCGGTAGCAACGACGATACCAAACTGTAAAGGGAGACAAACATACCTGAAGCACAGAATTTCTTCATCTCTTTCCATCGAAATTCGGCTAAGCAGATGCAAATGTTTAGCCACCACCCGTAGATTGTTATTTTCAAAGTAAAAACTCTCGGCGTGCAGCAGTAATCAAATCAGATAAAAAAAATCGGAAATTACTTTAGTTTAACTGGCTATTTATTCGGAGAACCCAACCAAAAGAATTACTTCAAAAAACCAAAGGTAGCGATTACGAGGTCGAAGAATAGATGCACATGATGGATCAGTTGTGGCAGTGTTATCACTAAAGTATTGTACTGTCCAAATCGTTTCACATTGTTGTACTCAAATTGGTAAAACAAACACTAGCGTTGGTTAAAAAAGCTCTTAACTTTTGAATTTTATTGCATAAATCAACAGTGTTATAGACAATTCGGTTCAGTGTTCAGATACAGTGATCTCTGAGGCCAGTTGACATCAAAAATTGAATACGCTACCCAAGCACTTGATATAAGCATTCTGGCATACGAACTAAATTTGCATATAAAATGCAATTTTACCGGTGAAAATTCACGAGGTTTTTGTTTCACTTGAAAAATGTGCATACCCTTCCCAGGAGAAAGAACCAGCGACCGATTGATTGTAGACTAAATAGCCATGAAAAATTTCGAAACATTCTCGTAATCATTACCAAGCCTACTCATCACGTGAAAATCTTGTGGAGCCCGCTCAAATGCATCGGTCAAGTACAAATTAAATTCATCTCTTAGAAGGAGGCTTTAAAACTGGCCTCACCAAATGTTACTAGTTTAAGCCTTGGCGTGTTTATTCCTAATAAGGAGGCTATATGTTTAAAGTAAAATACCGCAATACATCGTGAGGGTTTTCGACTATCAATGGTGCTCCATTTTGGGCTTTATTTTTTTCTAATCTTGAATCACAAATATGTGGTTTGGGTAAACTGGATAGTGCAGCATCTCTTTTTTGTCTATAACCGTCTGCCCGACCCCCCGGAAGCACAAAAATTTGTTCTGTTTGCATAAACAAACCGGAGTGGAGTAGTATCCTTCTATCAGAGGTTCACTTGAATGTATCGAAGACTGATCAAGTAAGCTCCATATGAATGTTGAAAACATATTTGTTACTTCTTCGTTTTTATCCAGGCCTGTTGAGATGTTCTGGAAATGTCTACAACAAGGAGTATAGTTTAACAATATAATTTCACTCATTTATTCCAGTTCATTATTTGTGAGCTGTTCCAAATTTGAGGGATTCGGTCAGCAAAGCATAAGCATTTTCAAAGAGGGGCCACTGAACCAGGTTCACTTACTGTTCCCCTTTCGGGACAACACATTTGTTCTCACCTGCGCGATGGTGTTTGTCTGGTTGTCTAAGCCGACGGGCGGGTTGTCGGTGAGGTAGTTCCATCAATGAAGTGGAACCTCTCAACATAATTAATCAAAACTTGAAACACAGGTCAAAAGCTTATTCACTGGATTAGTGAACCGCCTAACCCAGTGTCGGATGAATGTGTATGGGGAAAAACATTTCGTTTTTCCAAAAGCCATGAGGTCATAAGAAATGAAAAGGGAAATGCAGATTTCTAATTGTCTGAAATGCATACGACAAAAAGTGTTAAACGAGAACGATTAAAACAGAACGAAAATTGTGAACAAAATTTAGTTAATCCAGGGATGGAGAATGAGTGGGATCGTTACAATTCAATGTAATCGACCATAGCCTAAATAATCACGGCTTGAACCGATTCACGTTGTTTCCGAAATTTCCGCTTATTGAGGTGTGCTGTTATTGATTCCGCAGTTATGAGGATCTACTAACGCAATAATTTGTTATGGCTCTTTTTTGCTCTAATAGCACATACCAGTGCTATCTTTGAGTTCATCCTGCGTCAGATGTTGCAGGATTGTGATGTGCACGCTCGTCAATGTTCCTTTGCAAAGATTGGCTGGACAGTGCCCAAATATTCGCTTAGAAAAACACCTCCGTGTATGTGCGATTTAATAAGCACCACAGTTGCACGCGAACGGGGGAAAAACAAATGACGGAGACTAACGAGACTAGTCGTCATTTATATTCTGGACAATGAATGGCTTGATCTTCGATGATACACTCGAATGCGTCTTGATATATCAAAAAGAAATTTGTTTGCGTTTCCTTTTTGTCCCCATGCACCTATCAGTAAATCTTACAAATTGAATAAAAGCTGCTAAACTCTCCGTTATTTGGCGAGTGAAGTGAAATTTAAGCGATGCGGAGCAGCAACTGCTAATAGATAGCACGCAGTGATATTCCTTCTCGCCATTTACTGACAGTACGACTGTGAACTGCAGCAATCACGAATTCAGTCATTAGTCATTTGAAAATCATCAACAAATCACAGTTTAACTGAGTTATATTTGCATTCAGAAGCACTCAGTCATCCAGTTCTTCACCTACCCACACACGAGACCACCCACTCATATGTCTGTCTGGAAAATTTATTTTCAGCACCCCGTCGTAGGTCGGTAATGACATTTGCTGGCTTCGCCATTTTATGGCCTAATTTAAGATGATGAGTAAAACGCGAACGTGGAAAAAGGCAAACAAAATTGGAATTCACATCCTGGGAGGTCTGTACGGTTGAAGTTCCTTTGTATGGCCACCGATTAATCGGAATCAACTTTGTCTGCGTATCACGGATACAGAAATAAAAGATACTGTATATGACCCAGTATTTCCCTATTCTCTTATCCATAAAACCATAGTGAAACAAGCCAAATACTTCTTATTTAGTCTGGAATTAGCGTAGTTCAGCAATCCGGTAAAGATAATAGTTCAACCATGCTTTTCGTCAGACGCAAATCTACATAAACTGATCACATGACCATGGTGTTCAGCACGGTGATTGGTTCACTGGTCATCATTCATGTGCGTACTCAAAACACACACACGGGGTTTAGGTCCACCCGTTGTCAATCACAATTAAGGTGGGAAGTGGCGGCAGCATTTAAGGCCTAATCGGACGTGTGTGTAGCAGAATGTGGTTGAATTGTATCCAACTTGTGGTGGTCACCTGCACGAGCGCAAGCGCGACACAGGGTTATCTGAAATGTCAGTAATGCTTCACAATTGCAGCCATATGCCGACCGAGAACGTAGAACCCAAGGTGAGTATACCAATCATGACCGAGAGCAGAGTTTAACTGAGCTTGAACCCCCCGCCCCCTTCCGTACCCTTATTTGACAGATTAAACATTAAAGAGGAAGTCGAGTTATCATGATAAATGCATTCAGTCACTGGCTCCTTTAGTGAATTAGGCTTACTTTCCTAATAAGTTCATTAAGGATGTCAGAATTTTCAGAAAATGGTATGAGCTAAAAATGCGGCATCCCACTCTGAGATATAGACAATTTTCGTAAATCCATTACCTACATTCTACCGGAATACACACCTCAAAACGTAACAAACATTTCTGTGATGTTCAGAGCATTATCATTCCCGCTGTTAATAAACTGCGGTTAGACTTGATGCGATAATCCACCACGAAAGAGGAACCACGACCTTTTGGTAAACTTAGTCCATCTGACACCAGAAACACACTTGACTGAAAAGAATGCGATAAGCTTTTAAAAATTCACGTTTGTGAAATTTCATTCTTGTCACTGACAGAAATTTTGTACCACATTGAATACTCCGTGCTTCTAATAACCACAAAAGGAAAACAGCCATATTGAATATTTTATGGAAAAGGAACTTTAATTAGGTTTTTACATAAGTTCCCGAGTTGCTGTGTTGTACGAGCTTTTCTGATTGTATGTATGTCGTGTTTAATTAATATCTGGTTTGGTTCGATAATGTTTTGGTGAACCTGCAATCAGTAAAATGACTTCACCGCCAAATTGCAACCAAATTGCCATTTTGCCGTCTTGTTGCTTATTCGAGATCTTTATTTTTGCCGATATATGCTGGAACCGATTAGTCACGACATCAGTGACTGCACCGGTCCCCAAATTTTTATCTGTGTGGTAGAGGAGCATCGGTTGAGCCACAGTTGCCCAGCACAACCACAACTGTAGCTTAGTTTAATTGCGCGCCCATAGGCCAGTAAACATTTGACCCTCTTACTGAAATTCGTTTAGAGGAAACACGAGGTAGGTACACTTGAGCAGTTTATACTCTCAGGGTCTCACTTAAGGTTAATGAACTGCTGACGTCGGCTAAAACCAAAATGCAGTTGTATATGTCAAACAAGTCATAAATATATGACAAGAAAAATGTGTGAAAAACTTGCTATCGCAACCGCGAGCATGTAGGCGGATGTTTGAATAAGAAAATGGTTGGTAGATGATATAGTGCTACCACGTACTACTGCATGGTTCACTCGCAAGAACCAATCTTTTTACAACATCAGAGTAACAAAACAGATTCAGGGAACCTAGTATGACTGCGGTGGGAACTGTAAGATCCGATTGTACTGGCTTTTCGAAAGAGCTGTAAAGGAAGACGACGAAACTAGTTTCTCTTCTCCACATCATACAGAATATGGGCTTTAGCGTAGCATTAACATGATGGCATGTTCGGATTCTAGTTTTGCTTGTGTCTGAAGAAATCTATAAAACCTATCGGTAAATGTTAAAGACTTTGGGCGCCATCGCCAAAAAGTCTTTTCGAAAATTTCGCGCATTATTTGAGAACTATTCCAGCTTAAATTCTCATTGACTAAAAGGGTCACGCGTGTATAGTTTTTGTTTTATTCGCCAGGTGAGACACAACAACACGAAATAACCTTTGTGGGAAATGATGGTCGATGACCGTTTTGTGTTATCTTGGGTGTGATTATTCCAGCTATTCTGGTTTTCGTCTAGTGTTTGCTTATTCCACTAGAGTAGACGGTGCTGCGATGGTGATAAATTTCAAATGTGAGGTTTGGGTCCAGTGATGTTTGTACTTTTCCGAAATGATTCTCCGGCACGTTGATTTCAGTGACCTCCAGTGAAGGAAATGTGGGCATCGAGTGTGAGTAGTATAATTGACTTTCGATCTATCAATCATCATGCAACTGGCCTCATTCGGACAAGTTTGAAAAACAGTTTGCAGAGCAGCAAGCACACCCCAACCAGAATTGTGTGAGTTGATTCGAATATTTTCAAACTCCGCTCTACATGAAGTTTGATGTATGACCAGATAGTGAGTATACCTTTCATATATCTGTTCATGTGCGGTCGCGTCGGGTTGATTCCTCCAAATTAAAAGGAAAAAACAGGGACATATTTTCAGTTTCTGTTATCATATCTTTTCTTCTCCTAATTGGAAGGTGCAGAACTACCGGAAAGGTTTAACACTTTAGAATTGGTATCAAACAGTAGTGTATAACAATTTAAAGTATTTTTTTGTTGCTAAAGCTCACGCTGAGCTTGTTGGTAACTTTCAAGTCACTTTCGAGAACACGCGGGGGCCACTCATGCTCGGTCACGTGCGTGCACACATGCAGTTAGCTCTCACATGTAGGTGGGTAACGTAATTATATGTCCTATGTGCCACTTCAGAATAAGTCACACTGGTAGCAATCTTGAGAACTCTCTGTTCTCCTATGCTGCACACGTGATTTTGAACATGTAGAAACGACTTTGTGAAGCAGTTAAATAGTAGACTTGCACCATCTGCTTGCATCACTTGCCGTCCGTTGAGGTGGTACCCATCAGTGAGTTTGCGACAGCTAACCCATTCCTGTTTATGCTTAGTTTATAGAAGTCGGTGGTCGTTGAATGTGTTAGATCTTCAAAAATTCCGGTGAGGCAATGCATCATAAACGTCAGAATTACAAAAAAATACCGTCGCAAGTTATGTATTTTTGACAAACCGTCTGTGAACTATTTCGGTCCACATCAAACGCAATCTAGACAATGTGATAACAGTGATAGAAGGGCTGTTATATTTTTTATTCACATTGTAATCATCTGTCTCACAAGGAATACGTTGAACAATAATGTTGCAAATAATGGAGCAACTTGAATCATGAAGAAACAATAGTCTGGTTGTCTGCAAGCAAAATGGTGACCAGAATTATCGTACATTATCAGTCTGTCTGTCTATTATTCTACCCGTCTACTGAACTAAGAGTTAAATATGTCAATAAGTTTATTCGTTTATTCTGTTTTATTAACTCTTCGAAACATTGATACGATGAGGAATTTTACAACTGTTTTTGTTGATAATTTATATCAAGAAATCTTATAAACAAAGCTGCTATGCGATATTAGTTGTCACTAATTTTTCATATGTCGAAGGTTGCTCAAACGTAGCGGTTTTCTTTTTACTTTTTTTCAGCTCTGTAATTAGGTACTAATGCTTTTCCTTCCACCCATTGCACACAAATTATTTCGGTCTTATAAAGAAATTTATTGTAAAATATCTGTGATCTGCAAATGTACCGAATGTGAGGACTGCATCAAACGAGACACTGGTGAGGCTCAATGGGCATCTGGTACCCGAGACGATAGAGATGGAATGGGCGCATATGTGTCGCGGTTCAAAATCGGGCGCTACCAGTCTTCCGTAAAATGAAGCGCACAACATTTTGACTGTGAAGACAACACTGTCAGTCGGGGTTGAATACTGCTCGTTTGATTGTGCAGTCAGGCTGGGGGCAGTTTATTTTCACTCTGATGATCCGTGTTATTTTATTCCGGGATGTAAAACACTTTTGTAAATATTTTCATCCTTTTACAATTTTGAATTTATTCTTATAAGGAGAATCTGGTAAATTTGAGGAAAGCGAATTTTATCATTTCAGATCACCGAAACAACATAATTATCTAAGCTGTACGTTTTATTTACAAACTGTTAACATTGATTTTCTAACTCGACTTCTATAAAGCAATTTGATCTACATTACCCGGAAATCAAGGATGCGATTCTATAACGATGATCACGAGCTAATACCCTTAAAATTTCAACTCCCTCGCAATTCCAATATGCTCCAATAAATTGTTTGTTTAACGTTATCCCCTCTATTCTTTGATCAGTAAAAAAAATCTGTAACACTATTTCAGAATAAAATTGGAAAGAAGTGCTCCCTTTGTCACAAACTTGTGGGAAAAATTACAAAATTATATAGCGGAGAAACCACCGAGTATTCACGTGATCTTTTGTGTGACGAGTGTCGCGTAAATTCCTCGTGAGTTCCTCGTTCTGTGTGACTGGTACAGCCAAACGCCCCGTTATGTGACTATACGTCAAACGACATCATCTATTTATAATTATATACCGTATTATCACAACTTGTTCTAACAAAAGCATTCAATCCACCTCGTAAAACCCTCTACAAACACTATCAAAGATATGTTTCATGCATCGATTGTTGGATCCTTCATTCAGTCAGTCAGTCTGGCAAGCAGGCAGGCAAGCAGGCAGATGGTCGGTCGATCGGTCTGTCGTCAGTCATTTGAACCAGAAATTGAAAGGGTGTTATAACATCTGCACACTAGATCCAGCTGCATCAAGCGAGTGAAGTCAATCAATAAGAAACAGTAGACAACGACGATGAATCAGTATAATTTAAAAGTGATCACACGAGGATCGTGCTCGCTTATGACGAATGCAAAACCTCACTCGTCTAAACATCAAATTTCAGACAGACTGATTTTGCTTTCAGTTGAAAAGTCACAGAAAACAGTCAAATATGATCTTCGTTTGTGGTCGTCCTTTAAAATATACGGAGGTTTTTTGCTCTTGTTTGCCAATATTCAAACTGACCATTCAAAACAGACAAACACATAGCCGGATTCAGAATAATAGTAATAGTAATAATAATAATAATAATAATAATAAAGTAGTAAATTTGAGTAATGCCTTTCCAAAACGAGTATTCCATGAAACAGAAGAAGGTAGATAACGTTTCACCGTTGGATTTGACAAGTTTTTCTCACCCTATCACATTTCCTTTGCAGGCTCAATAAACCAAAGTGAGTTATTCACAGATAAGGATGAAAATAGTAGATTTCATTGTATTTTGGTATTGACGAGTTCTAAAACATCCGCATACCGAGCTGCGATCCTTTCATATTGGTTTCATTGAACTTTAGAGAAATTATAACATTTTTATCCTTCACGAACCTGTTGCTCACATTTAGTGGTCTTGTTGTGCCATTATTTAAGATCAGTTTCATTCTAGTGTGGCTTTATTTGTTAGTTATCTCGTCTGTGAGGAGCAAATTAATGGAATTCCCATGAATCCTCGCCGCAACTAGAAAATATTGGAAAAGAATAAGAAACGCTTCTCTCACGCTCTGTCATTTAATAATTCGGTGAACATTTTTCCCATGCTCGAGTATCACATGACCAGAACGATAAATTTGTTGAGGCTTCACAGAGATCCACGTGCGACACCAGAAGACAAAGGGATCTTGCAAAAACACCATAAAGATCTAGTATCCGTATGGATGACGAATATGTGGTCATTAAATTCCCCTAATCCTTGCTAAAGAAAACCAATATGTGTAATTGTTATCATTAAAAAATTGATTCCGTGCGAAATAGTGAAATACTGAGAAATGATTGCGGGGATTAAAATAATCCATATGAATGTTTTGGGTTCCCCATTAGAACGTAACGTGAGTTACCAGTATAGATTAGTTCAATAGTGTCTGAGTCTATCGAATCCCGGTCAATCAATGAAAACATCATTATGCTGATTTGGTTGATCAGGGTATCATAAATTCCTCTTTCATATCCCTATACTGAGTGTTAGCTCTTTGAAATGATATGAATGTAGAAGATATGAGTAGACTGCTGGATGAGATCATGCTACCTTTTTAGATTTTGACGATGAAGCATAGTGCTGCAGCTGAGATAGTGCACAAAGCCCAGTAATAATGTGATCACAGAGAAAAGGGTATAGATTCGAACTGATAAAACTGCATTCTAAAGACGGTTGGTAGCAGCGTGAAATACTACTGGAAGGCTGGGATTGCAGACAATTCAATAATTTGGAGGTGTCAAGAGAATAACACAATTCATCTGGCGCTTTTAGAAAACTCACCAATTTTCCGTGCGTGTTGTTGTACAATAGCCTCAGCAGTCAAACAATTTTCAGCGATTTCTCTCATTAATTATAGCACATTGCATCTATTAGATACAATGAAAGAGTTTCAGTCCGTATCTCACTTCAGCATTGTGAACAACTATTATTTCAAATAATTTTTTACCACTCCAATAAATAATCTTATAGACTTTTAGTAAATACACAAAGTTCCGCTTGGTGATGACAATTCTCCCCAAACTTTTAAGAAATTATAAATGCTGTGGGATATTGTTTAGACCATTAAGAAGTGATTATGGCATTTATTTTTTCAGTATGAAGCTAACAAAGCATTCTTTTGTGAATATTGCGATTTTAAATCATTTAGTTGGTCACTTCTTGAGTTTTCTCACTATAACAGCTTTGCATTCTTACTATTGGTTCACAGGAGACCTCTTCTTGTGGTGAACGAAAGCATGCCCTCAGTCGCTGCAAAGAAAGGTGATCCGGTCTGGGGTAGGTTCCATGGAAGAAATATTACGTTAACTTTGCTGTCCTCTTAATTCCATGGTCCTAATTGGTCGGAGTTTCAGCATATTGATTTTTATAGCCTCACTGTTTCAGGTGACAGATTATTCTGTAACCACAAAATAAATCATTAGGATGTAAAAGCCATGGGGTTAATTGCCCCATGACTGAGATCCGGATGAGCAAAATGGGTTTTAGATTGCCTGTATTCTTGTCGATAAACTTTGGCACAAGTTCTTAGCAGAACCATTAAAAAGGACTTTTAATGGTCCGGGAAACGGTCCTTGATAATTATCGAATCTTGACTAAAGGACCACTACGTGATTATGATTCACTACGTCAGAGGCTATGATTCAGCTTTCAAGCCCCATGGACGAAAATACACTCAAAAGTTTTCTTATAATAGCAATCTATCAATATCGGACGGAAACTTATTTTACTCTGCTAATAAAGGTTAACCGTTCGGGTGTGTGATGACTCAGCATATTCAAATTCCAAATATATTGTTCCAGTGAAAAAGACATCATTTCACAGTTACTACTTTCCTCAAACATTCACCTTGTTACCGCTGAACTTTTCCATTTTATAGAACAGTATTTTCTGAATCAGTAACCTTTTGAACACAAAAGAATGACTAGAGAGCTGGCTACGTGTTGGCCGTAATCCTTTCTCCCGTCATGTTAAAAAAAAGCAGACTTTAACGTTGAAACAATCAAGGTTAAGTTGAACTCAATCATCTATTCACCATTGAACCCGTTCATTAGAGTGATGAATATCCGGCCGTAAAGTGGAAAAATTGCTGAAATCAGTAATTCGATAGGGCAGTGATACGTTCATTCGTCCCAATCGAATCCTGTGGAAAAACGTGCAATCCTTTTCCCCATCCGTTATGGTCAACCAAGATGCTATTGATTGCTGATTACCGAGAAACATCAGAATGACAAACGAATGACTGATAATATCAGTCATAAAATGACCGAAAAAAAATCGCTCGTTCGAGCAGAATCTTGGGGTAAAATTATACAGTGAATAAGCGAAACGAGGCTAATGTCCACCTGAATTTCAATATGAAAATTCGTCGTGAAATGATGTTCGTGGTTTTCTTCTCCGGGGGGGGGGCATTGATAGGGCCTACTGGAAATTTTCTGTTGAACAGACTAAAATTTGCGCGATATAAAGCACTTTCTGATTTACTTTTCCCATTTTTCGTTCAGTCACACACGCGGCAGAAGGTTTCACAGAAGCACTTGTCAACCATTCCGCAACCGATATAGTGAGTGTCAGTGGATTTGCGTTGCCAAATAAGAAAATGTCAACACCGTATGACAATCAGGACATGTGAAATCGTGTTCAATTTTTATATTCACTGCCCTCAAAGCTACATGAAGCAAATATTCTCTTCTGTATCCCATATTCCGTAACATCCACAAAGCTGTATGTTCCTCAATCTACTGGCAACCCTGAGCCTTGGTAGAAGTGAGCGCTGGTGAACCGGATATTTCCTGATTTGCAACGTACTCGTGTGATTAATTACTACCGCGTTCACCGGAGCTTCTAAGATACAGTCACTGATATCTGTACCGCAACAAAATACAAAGTCACAATTTACGCTGGAGCAATAAAACGAAAACAACCACCTAAAATGGGTGTTTGACTGTTTAAACATAAAACAGATCAGCGTGTCGATGCTCCCGATTTTTTAGGTGATGAACGCCATGGTAACTTTCACTAGGTTAATTCAATTTCTATTTGGTTTTATTTCAAATGATGCGATTAAAATTAATATAAATATGAACAGTTTTCCGACTTTGAATTCAAGCAGCATAATTGAAAAACCCTCGTTTATCTTATATTTTGTTGTATCTTTGAAACCACTTTCAGAACGGTACCTCGGTGAAACAAGAAGTTCCTGTCAAAGTTAATTCTCAAGTGTTGGACAAGAGCTCCATTTTTCATGGTTGTGTAAGTTTGTTTCAAGAATGCAATTCCCAATGGTAATTGCTTTTAATCAAACTGATCATACAGTTTAAGTCAGATAAATTGTTAATAGTATAGATCTTATCGGGAATTTAATCACATACAGAACTAATGAAGTGTAAACTGATAAAAGTTCTGATAAGTTTGTCGGTTTTTAGCAAACTCACGAACTCGATTGAGAACCAAATACAGAATATCAGTTGCAAACGTCCCTTTGGTCACAAGACAGCTGACTGAGAGCCTGTTGGAGACAATGCACTAAGTTCATCTTTGCATCACCCTGCAGGATTTGGAGTTTGCCTCATGTTTGTCAAATACTTTGGGTTATTCACTCTTTGACCGTAGTCCCTTGTTTCCCGTTCACATCTAGTCCATTGTGCCTCAACCAGTCATACGAAAAAAGTGTATAGTCTGTTCCGGATCTCTACACGATTCGGACGCAATTCAACCACTGGCCAATTTTCATGAGCGTTGCTTTCACTGCAATCGTTGCCAACGACAATTGTCGTAAGTTTTATCCACGTGGCATTGTTGTGTATGTTCATCTGGATCCAACACTCTACCACTGTTGCTGGCTTCTTTCTCAGAACTGTTTCTGACCAAGGACCATTTAAGTGGTTTATTTTTGTAGCTCAATTTTTCTGACAGATCGCGGTTTGCACCTATCTCGCCACCCCCCCCCCCAGTTGATTGATGTCGGTGTTTGAATGGCATCATTTACAATTTCACGAAAAATACGTCTAAAAATATGAATAGTGTGAACAAACACTTCAGTGGATGTCAAAAAATACTTCAAAAATAATTATGGATGAGTTTTCAATTGCAGACCAGGGATAAAATACCTTCCCCAATTCTAACGCAACATCGACATGCCTGTAACTCACAGGACAACAAAGGATGCTGCTTGTAGGTCAAGCATTTGTGAAATTTCATTCTCCGCACAATAAAAGCAATTACTCGACTTCAATTGGCAAGTTCTGATTCTTGTAACACAATTGCGCTTTGGTACGATTATGCGTATCATGTTTTTCCGGGTAGAGAATAAAGCACATAATAAATTTCGTAAAATATTCTCAATGGATGCATAAGAAGAAAGTCGAAATGCGAAGAAATATCTTTTCGATGTCTCGCTTCAGGCATTTACATATATAGTTTGATTAGTCATTAGATTAATACAAGGCCTAGACTGAATTTGACTGAATGTTTTAGTGCAGAATGTTCGGTTGACAACATTCTATGAGGTCATGATAATTGGACAGAGAAAAGCCGAATGAAAAACGTGTGAATTGGAGATAATATGAAATGTGTTAGTCCAAAAAGATGAATAAAACTGGTGTGAACGTTTGCAAAAAAGACAGTAAGTGGGGATTTGGGGGGGGGGCACAGGATTGACCCAGAAACATCATTCACAAGTTTCTTCACTGCACCTAGGAACCACGCCAAAGGATTACGTAGGAAGATCCTGATAGCTGCGGAAGCCATAGCAATTAGGATCATGAAGCCGGAGTTGTGCAAGCAATGTAATCTGGTTCAGTCGCTGATTTTATCATGACCATAAGAACATTTGCCCATATCTCTGTGACACTTTCTGTTCTCTTCCTCCCCTCTCCTCTCTCCTCATTTACTGTTTTTTTTTGGTTGTCTTTTATCACAAACCCTATTGATTAGTTTCCGTATATAGTTCGGGTGAGTAAATTGGCCTGGAGACAGATATTAATCCATCTGATCCGGTTTCTGACACACGGTCTGCTAAAAGCAGAACAAATATAAGTTCACAATAAAGTAAAGTACATCATATTGTGGAGATTTATACAATCGAATCAGCCCGAACCAAACTGCGAATGAAATGGACTGCGTTAAACCCTCAAAGCGAGCGGCACAGTTTGCAAAAAATGTAATAGATGTCACCTTTGCGTATAAATTGTATTCCCTGACCTGGTGAACGTAAATGCTCAATGTATAACTGCAATATAAACAGCAAAACTCGTTCTGTGACCGGTGTATTGAAGTTAGACCAGAAATGCTGGTGTAATAAATAAATGATCCAACTTTGCGCATTCATTTTTCAGACCACTGAACTTTAAAATGGTTAATGGTACACCATATTGTGAACCCATCTGTCAGAATGTCCGGGTTCAACAAATCGGTAAGCTTTCTCACTTCTGTCTGTTCCATAATTTAGTAATCAAGATGTAGTACTAGATGTTTTCTCATTGTGTCGTTCTAAGAATATAAAAATGATACGTTGAATTTATTATCACCCTCTCCGGTCTCTAGGTAAGATGGCTGGAACCAATTTGGACATATGTAAACCTGGTCTAGTGTTCTTAATAAATCCTATATGAACCAAGCACTATAGAAGTTAGGTTGTGAATATTGACTACTTGTATGATGGCACGTTCTGACTGCTATTCTTACTCCTTCACTGTGTCACACCAAATTGCTAGCAGATGGAGTTTGCATCAGTCGGTCTGTCTGCGGCTGTGCTCCAGCTCCAGGACTGTCGCACACGTAGCTGATTGAAGCACGAGACGGGCAGATGAATAAGACATGTATTGTACGGTCCATCACCCATGCGTACAGAGTTAAAACCGCAATGTGTACACTGGAATCAAACTGCGATAGGGGACTAGAGAGGAGATCAGATAATCAAGAGCTGCCTTTATGCACCCATCGAGTGAAGTTTCCGTGTTCTCATAACAGAAAGGCAAACAATACCAACGATAAAAACATTCATAATCTTAGAATGGAAGCGCTAGAAGTAATACACCATTATCATGAAAGCAAATATCCAGTTTATTAAGTTACGACCAGGAAAGCAAAAGTGGTATGAGCAGGGAGAAGTCCACATTGAGAACCGATAAGAATCTTGATTCAACGCATAATTATTAAAGTCAATATGCAGAAAACAGTGCTCGTTAAACATGATATTGTTCGCAAGTTGATAACACGCATCATTGTGTTCGCGTACGAAGAAATTATTCAAGCTATCATCCGAAATACCGGCTCAACAGTCACGAGATTTTTTCGGACCATTTCAATCTGGGGATAAAATCGTTTTTAGACCGCAGAAACAAGGAAAGAAGAATTTACTCACAACAATAGAATATAGATAGTAGAAAGTTGGACAAAATCCAGTAGGGGAACAGAAAGCTTTTCAAGTCTGAAAGTGTACACCAGGAACCTACGAACCCATGTAAACGTTTTCAGTCTATTTGAACCAAGAAATGGAGTAAAAACCCATTCACCTCATTTTAGAGCATTTAACCTCCATATTGTCTCACTGTGCTTTGGTTCATTTAACAGTGCATGATTCAAGTCAATCATCTTCATCCACAAAGACCACCAATATGATGAAATTCATTCCAACCAAGACGACAGCCAAGAACGTAAGTTTTTCTGGAAGACAAAATTAGTGATCAAAATAGTTGAAATTTACTCTTTAAAGTCATCCATCCTGCGGAGCCATTGTATCGAATTACTAACAATCTGTGCGACTGAAATTTACTGAAAATCTGAAGTGTACAAATGAAGGGTTTGTGTATTTATGTCTTTCATATGGCGCCATTTAAAACGGAACCAGAAAGTTGTGCTGTAAGGTCAGAGTGAAAGCTTGGTCGGTTGAAGTTATTGTTCTCATTTGGAAATGGTGCACTGCTAACAATATCTGACGCTCCC